AAGCAGCTATTGGGGAAATAACTCAATACCTACCCTCAAAGACCGACTTGCCTCTCACTCTCATCTTTATAGACTCAGTCTCTTTGGCCTTCTCGGTCCTGGATATGCTTCGCAAGTGGTGCAATCCGTCTGTACGGGGCAAGATACACCTTTGTCACTCGCTTCTTAGTGATCACTACATGAGGGTTATGGCACATGGGTTTGGGCGCGAAATATTTCGTGTACTAATATGTGTCGGGCCACCTCCTATGGTGAGTAGATCGCCTTTCGAGCGGAGATAAACGCTGAAAAATACTGGCTGCACAGAGAGCTGGCTTCCAGAATGTCAGCCTCATCATCAACTTTCTCGCTCCTAGCTCACTTTCAGCCTGGCTTCGGCGGGCCTGGTATGGAACTCGATCTCAAGGGGCTATGTGTCGGGTTGTACTAATGATACAACCACCACTATTCGAGAGTTGGCTAGGAGACACTCAAGATACAAAGGAACTTGGATCAAACGATGGCACTAAACAGGTCTTAGGCGATGAACAGCTGACAGATAACGCCGAAACTGACGCTGATGCGGAAAACGGGAGTGAAAGCGAGGACTCGGACGAGTTTTTCGGTGATACGACTTTAACGACACCCAAACAAGGCGGTCAAATCGGAAAACAAGAAATAGCTTGCACAAAACTGCTGTTCAGGTACATTCGCCACGCAGGATGCCGAAATGCCTTCTTGGACCACGAGTATGGGAACCCATCACGATCGGAAGAGTGCGTTACCTGCGATAATTGTATCAACAAATCAAGGCACCCAGCGCATACAATTCTCCCTATCCGTATGGACCCGCTCTTTGGCGCGGAGTTGAGTTCCAAGGCAACCAAACCCAAGCATCCTGTCTGGCTTCGTGCAGCCGAAAGGAAGAGCCGTGAGGAGGCGTTGAGGAAGTGGCGTCAAGCGAAGTGGGAGTCTCCCGAGTGCGCCGAGTTGAACGCCATGGAATCATTTATTTTACCCGACAATATACTCATCGCAATCGCGAAACATCCGAATCTTAAAGCTCTGGAGGATTTCGAGACTACAACAGTAGTGTGGTCGCACTATGAGCGTTGGGGAAATGAAGTGCTCGAAATTCTACTGAAGGAAAGAGAGAAGCGTGGAACGGTCCAAGCTTCAGATCGCCTTGGTGACTCTGAGCCATCGCTGAACGAAGCATAGGCCGACGAGTATTGTATCAGTACCAGTAGGTTGCTCTTCGTAAACTTAATCACCAAACATATTGTTCATGCATTCAGTACCAAGTGACCTAGGCACACATACACATACCGAATGTCGTGGAACGTCAATCTGATAAATGACACCATTCAAGACGGCATTTGTTGTCTAGTAAGAATAGCAAAGCACTTTCGTATGGTATGGGCTTTGGCGGGTCCTATTCAAGCTATCTCGCGGACCTAGGAAAAAAGCCCGAAAGCGGGAACTAGATATCTATATCCCAAAGCCGTCACTTGGCCTAGTCACAGCTTATATATATAGTATGGCGGCTAGCTTTTACACGCCACTCAACTTAGGAATTTTGCTTTTTGAATCAATTTACTGCATATATGCTGCACCTGCAGCGACGTCCTGGGAGTTAAAATTCGCACAGCCTCCCTCGGGCTGTTTTGGCAATGCTTTGACAGCTTCAGTTTACATGTCTCTTTGACCACTACCATGGCTCGAAAGTCTCACAAAGCCCTGCAGATAAGCGAAATAACAGACGCTATAGCTTCACATGTCGGCGGATCCGGCTCTATATCGCTTATGTACACGTCTAGGGCATTCTTCTGCTCGGCAATCCGCTATGTCTGGGGCCGAGGCCCAATTGAGGCTCAAAATCTGCTCACTCTCTTGGGTGGTATCACCTACACGAAAACCGACAGGATAGAATCATTAAGAGTGAGTAATAACTACGTCTTCCACCCGAGAGTAAAACCCACTGCCCTGTATCCTAGGCCATTGTCCCACGACCACTGCCCGCAGGCTACTTCGACCGATTCAATCTATACGCGCCACTCGTTCGGGAGCTAAAATACAATTTGCTCGTGCTACTTGACGAATCTAATGCATCCCCAATCGCAGGATCCTTTCATTCTAAACACCTTCGATTCCTTATAGATTCGGTTGGCTCGGCGCTCCTGTTACCACACCTGACTCAGGTCACGCTCGACCGGCCTGATGAGACTACCTGGCGGCAGGATAACTTGGACCTACTTTTGTTGCTCTTACCGCCATCGCTTGCGCGACTTTCCGTCACTGAGCGCGCTGATTTCAGTGGCAAAGCAGAGTCTAAGCGCTTCTTTGAGTTTCTAGGTACTCGAGTGTTTGCGATTTGCCCTGGTATACGAGACCTTTTTCTATTTAAGCGTGCAGATACTACTGCCGTGAGATGGGAGGCTATTGACAACGCATGGTATCCGTACGATAAATGGCCTACGCTTAAACACCTAACTAGTATCACGTTCTGCGGGACTGTAGTCAGCCTCGAGGCGATAGACTGGATTTCTGAGTCGCGAGACTTGAACTCGCTGAAATTTAAATTTCTTCATCGATACAACCATTCGGCCTTCCGCCGGGTAACGTATCCCCACGATGCGTTCCGGAACCTCCGCGCGCTGTGTCTTGAATACTGCGCGATGGAAGCTGTTATAAGCCTATGGAACACATCTATTATCCTCCAGTTAGAGGAATTGACCGTACGTTCCATGCTCGCGACCCGGCCTAATCTACTTGAGCTATTCTTTCGGCTGCTCACGAACCGTAGTCGCCAGCTAACCAAGGTCTCCCTTTATAAGTGTGCTTTCATGAATTATATCAACTTGGCACCAGAAGGAATGGAATGTCAACCGCACTTCAAACTTGTAGAGTTGTCCATAGACTATATCGTTATGGATGGCCGCAACCCTGCAATACGTGCGATTGCGACACTATATCCAAGCCTGCGTAGCCTCACCCTCGAGAGGTACCTTACTGGACTCGAGGAGCTTCTTCAGTTGCCAACGCTGTTTCCGAGTCTCGAATATCTTGCGCTGCGCTTACCTGATGAGTTGTACTCGTTCGAGCCGCTGATCAAGCTTCCATTAAGGATACCTAAATCAACAGTCGCGTCGGCTCTTAGGCTGTGTACAGAAGTCCCTTTTGCCATGAGCGACGACAGTGAACCAGGACCGATGTTTGTGTATCTATGGGCTAGGTATGCGACATCACCCCGTAACTTTGATCATGCTCCGTCATTCTTATGTTTTGAAACCCATTTTAGGTTCTTTTGTCGGTGGTGGCCTGGTATGCAATGTATGCCGAGTCCTAATTATACATTCAACATGCCGTCAGGGGTGTGTACACAAGTGAACGAACAAATCCTTAGGTTGGCGTCTGAAGAGCCAAAAGGTGAGGACTTTATTGAGCAGAGGGGTGGTATACACTCTTAATTGACGGCTCTAATGGTGCATTCGTAGAACTATTCATTCGGTTCTTGGCAGCCGGACCGGAATTGGGAGCAGTCACTGCAGCAACGTCATTGGATGATTAGATAGCTCATACTTTGGATACGTAGCATGCACTTAGACTACTTGGATCCCGAAATAAGTTTGTAATTTTCCTTTGTCCGTTCTGTGTTGTTGCCTTTCACTTCTTCCTTTTCTCTGGCGGGATGTACTTATATAAGACCTGGCCTTCACAAGACAAAAATCAAAGTTTAAAGGAAGAATTGGGAGTACTAAAAGCCGTTTCAGTTTAGAAGGTGCTACTCAAGAAGGGGTTGAGAATCAAACATCGGCATAGAGCGTCTCTGGAGACTCGTGCGTAGCTTTCAGTTTGAGACTCGGCAGAGAGATGCGAATCATTTTGATGGAGCGCGGTACCCGTATGCTTTCGAGAGATCTCAAATATAGATACACGTCGTGTCTAGATATCTCAAGGGCCGCGACGTGTATTCGGCTTATAGCAATATCATCGAAGAATACACTCGTGACCCCCAGGACCATCACAACAGCCTCTTTCGATGAAGTGATCCATTCTCAAGCTCCGTCATCAAGTGCGTTTATATAGGATCAAAGCATGTGCTAGAAAAGGTCTAGAGAGCATTTGATTTTTGAAAAAGGAGTAAGTTTAATTCGCGCATCTCCGCTTCAGGCGCATATACAGTACTTGTCACCTGAATATGCTCCAACTCCTATCATACTCGGCCACAATAAATGCGCTCAGCATCCATCGCGCATTTACCCACAATAGCACTTGTCTTCTGACTTCTAGTAACTTCGGCTGATATTCCGTGCAATTCAACGAACAAGAATCCCACCACCTGTCACGCTCATCTCAACAATCACGATCTGCACGCAGCCTAGCCTCCTAGGTTTTCGTGATTCTCGCTCCATTATCGACGTAGCCTTCGCCGTCACCCCTATAGATCACTGGGGAGGTTAGAAGGTTGCCCCCTAAAGATCGAGTTCTGGGCGCAACCGAACGGCCTTGTCATGGGCGCAACCGAACGCACTTGTTATTGAGTTCTGTCGTCACTTTAGGCTTTTTCACGAGCGCGGGGCGTGTCTTGCTCCACTTTGTTCATTGCTTGCGGGTGATAAGGTCGATTGGGTTTAGTTTTGTAGATTGTAATTTAGTAGTGCGGTGGCGGCTCGGGGATTAGGGGGGATTGACGGCTTACGGTGGTTGGAGCTAATGGAGGTGACAAGTTAGATATACGACGCTGTCTTTTCGACAGCGTGACACAGTTAACTGTGTAGTATAGGGGGGAGGTGGAGTGAAAGATATTTGCCGGTGTGATCACTTTCACACAGCAATTTATTTGCAAGGGGTCGCTTGACAGGGCGGGTTCAGTGATCCCGCTGTGGATATCGGTAATCTAAGCGGGGCGGGATGATGGTTCCTGGATGGGTTCTTTGCGGTAACTAGGAGAAAGATGTGACCAGGGGGCGGTGGAGAAAACGAGCGCAGATGAAGAAAAAGGTGCTGCACAAAAGCATCGGTCGCTGTGCGATTCGAACACACGCGGTCGGAGACCATACCCTGTGCTGACGTAGTAGCAGGGGCACCCATTAACCACTCTGGCAAACGACCGTGATGATCGGTTGGCCATTGAGATGACTGATCGCTGGGATGGATGGATGAACGGATGATCACGCGGAGGCGAGTCTAAATAAATTGATTCCGTCATTTGGCTTAGTCTGACAGCGGGTGCAGGCAGGCGGGAGAAGTCGCATGGATTTGGAACGGTTTTACGTAGATCGCGTGCAGCGTGGTGTGGTGGGGGTCATGTGAGGACCTGCCCAGTCGACGCCGGCTCACTTGCGGGTGTGGTGTGCGTTGGTGGAGGTACGCACATGCGTCGATGGGAGCGACCCTAACCGGTCATGCTGTGCCGGTGCGCGACCCAAGGGGTGCTGTGCCGACGGGTGACGGGGACACGTTGGGCCGATGAAAAAGAGAGTTGGGTTGCATGCGGTCTGGGCTTCGGTTGGGGAAACGTCTGGAAGCGGTGTGGGTGCCAGTGGTGATTTGACGCCGTCAAAAGGTCAGAGGGTAATAACTATTTGCAAAGTCAGAGGGGTTTTGACGGGTCGTGGCCCCGGGTCAGTCTTGGGTCAGAGTATGTAACATACCGGATTTGTAGCTACCGATTGCAAACCGATTGGGATAGACAAACATGTGGAGCAAATGGATCCCATAAACGTAATAGATATATGCTCCACATTATGTCACTGACCATATCTCTGACCCAGGTTTTGACGGGTCAGTCTTGTCAAAACCTATTGGAAATCGGGTCATGACGCCGTCAAATCACCACTGGTGGGTGCCGGCGTGCCGTGGATGAGCTGACAGATCCATGTGGAGTGACCAGATGTGACGGGTCACGTGTGCTGCCGGCGACACTCGTGGCAGCGGGGGGACAACGGAGTGCGGCGGGGGTGAATTGGGCCGCTGTTGTTGTACATGTATGGGCTGTCGTAGTGGCCGAAAAAGCTGGATTGTTCTGGAGATAGAGCGTGACGTGACGGCTGCGGGTTCTTGAGCACATGGTGATTTGAAGGGTCGGGTTGTGTGCTTGCAACGACTCCCTCCCAAGGCTTGCCTTGAAAC